CAACCTGATCCAGTTAGCAGTGTCCCTGCTCCTGCGGGGGGGTTGGGCTAGATGACCTCTAGGGGTCCCTTCCCACCCAAACCACTCTGTGATTCTATGGCTCTATGAAAACGCCCTCTCCCTGCCCTTAGGAGCCTGCAGCGGGGCAGAAGCTCTGTGCCTGCATCCCGTGTCCCCATCAATCTGTGCCTGCATCCTGCATCCCCATCGCCCTGTGCCTGCATCCCACGTCCCCATCGCTCTGTGCTCCCCGGGACCGCGAGCGCAGCGGTGTCGCTTGAAGCATTTTGTCTTCTCTGGGAAGGCTCAGCTGGGACTGCTTCTGTCCAGGCAGCAACAGTTCCCAAGAATTCAGAAACATAAATGCTTCCCATTTGAATTCTCAAAATACTGAAACCCTGCACCACAAAAAATCACAAAACCCAAAAAGGTGACGCTCGTGCAGCCCGCTGACATGCACCACGTGGGCAATGAACAGTCCCTTTAGGTAAGCTGAACTGTCTAGGTCCAGGGCTTGCTGAAACGCAGCACAAACCGTATCAAGTGTCTTACGCTGTGCCTCATTAAATAAATGTTTATTATTTCCTATTGTTTGGCCTCGGTAAAGTTGCAGAGCTCTTTTCTGCAAAATGTCTCCAGTTCCTCTGGGAACCGTTACCGCGGAGAGGCAATTTCCAGGCTGTTTGCAGAGGGCCTGCCCTGACCGCAGCTTTGAGGAGCGGAGATCGGTCCGTTCAGCATCCTCAACATTTGCAGAGCGCTCCTCAGCACGCGAGCCCTGTTGCCGCCCTGGCGATGTGCTTGCACCCCTGTTTGTCCTGCGCGTACGCTACAGCTGCCTGGGGCGCCGGGGTAGCTGCGGGGGAGCGACGGCGGCCTCGCCGTTCCCCCTGTATCCCTCCTTATTTCTGCAAAGCCCGCCTTGCTGACAGAACAACCGTCGTCGGCTAAAATGCAAAGGAAGCAAATTAAAGTGGGTTGCTGTGGCCGTGGCATTTAAAAGCCACTGACGTTGTGCTGCCATGGAGCGCCAGGGTAGCTCACTTCGCCATGGGAGGTACGAAAGGTGGAAAGGAGGTTTAAAACGGAGAGCTGGCTCCTGGTGTGCAAACACAAGTTTATGGTTCCGGATTTCTTCTTTAAGAGAGAAAGGTGGTCTCAGATGAGAGAGTCACAGCTGATAACATGCATTTATCGTACCTGCACCCTTTTCTGTCGGGGGGGGCAATATATTATTTCTGTGTATTATCAAATTATTATTTTTCTGCAAGGGTTAATAAAAACAAGAATTAGAATAAATCCATATTGCCTTTTTTATCCTTATGAACACATAAATAAAGAAATACTAATAATGCACAAATGTATTCCAAGAGCAGGCTGGATCCTCAGCTGGGCTGAGGAAGAGGAGATGAGGCCGAGGAGAAAGGGTGGCTCTTTGGGCCCATCCCTGCTGTCCCTGCCTGTTCAGACCTGGCTGCCCAGGTTTTCCTGCGTGAGCAGCTCCATCCAAGAGCGCGCTGCTGACGGAGGTGCACGAGACCTCACATCGATCTGCTTTATTTGCTCTTTGTTCCCAGGGAAGGAACGGTGACGCCTCCCGTGCCTCTCCCCAGCCTGGTGCGTGCCACGCTCACCGTCATGCTGGGTGCGCGGCTGGGCTGGGCTCCCGCGGGCTGCGGGCGGCCGTCCCTCTGCTCTTCTGGCCGAAGGTTTGTCGCAGGTTTGTTTTACCTGGTTTCTCGCTGCTACGTCGGGGGGGCTCTCAGCCACGGCTGTGTCAAATTTGCCACTTCCTACACTTACACATTGGAACATTTCAGCATCTCTGCAGTGGTTTGGCTTACTTTTAAATAGATGTTTTGGTTTTATTTATTAGGGATGGGGTTATTCTGCTTCAGTGCTGAGTTCTTTCTCCAGTCGGGCTTCCCTCTGCTGAACTGTTTGCAGCCCAGTTCCAGCTGTGGTCCCCACGGAAGACGCGCCAGGGTACCTAATGCATCGAGTCATGCCCCATTAGTCCAAGGGTGCTAGCAGGGAAAGGCACGTGATAAAAAGAGCGACTGCCAGCCTGGGCCAAGTAAACCCCTGGAGCAGGGGGGGGTGGCACGCCAGTGATAATCCTGCCTATGAGAAGTCATCAAGGCCTACAGTTCCCAGTGATCGTGGTGGAATAAATATGTCAAGGAGCAGCTTCTTCCTTCGCAGCGCCACGTGCTCCCAAGAGCCGTCGGCCGTGGCAAGCAGAGGACCCCGTGGGCAGGCGGTTGGCTCTGGGACGGTGCCAGGCGGCCCCAGAGGTCTCACCGGGGAAGCTGTGGGCAGGGACCTGGTCCTGTCACACTCACCAGAGCCAAGCAGCACAGATGTACTGCCCATTACAAAAGGAAATTACACATTTTCTCCTGCTCTACAGAAGCCACAAAGGGCCTGAAGGGGCGCGGGGGTGATGTCAAGCCACAAGATTATTTATTGAGGAGATTCGGTTGGTTCATTTAATTAGTGTATCTGCCTAATTCCCTGAGGCCGCGAGCAAGCAGCATTGCTCAAGCACATACTCCACTGCGGTTAAGGCATCTCCATCTCAGCCACGCAGCTGGCGGTGCTCAGCGCCGTGCGCAGGACCCCAAGGCTCTGCACCGCGGGTCGGGTACCACTGCTCCGGTGTCACCTTTTCTTCAGCCCACCGCGCGCTTGCCGTGCCACTACAGGATGGGTCAGTGTACCCCAACCCCCGGAGCTCTGGTGAATTTTGGCTGCACAACTGACTGCCAGTCATTCTGACAGAGGATGAGGAGGGTCCCAAGAATGTCCTGACAGGCGTTTTGATCCCAAAAGCCATACAAAGATTTTCACCAGGCAGAATAAAGCCCCAGCTGTATCTCGCAGAGTTTGCCGAGTGTCCAGCATGTACTACAAATAATGCAATATATTTTGGAGGAAAGCATCCATCGTGCCACGTAGGCTGCTTCGGAAGAATAGAAGCCTGCCTCTAACACTCCCTACAGACACGCTTGGGAGCCTGTTTATGACAAAACCCTGAAAATGCCTTTTTCTTAGCAAAAATATCCCTCCACACAAAAAGCTGATCCTAATTAAAAAGAAAACTCAAACCCAAATTTGATCAACTCTCTAAATCAGTATTTTTCACTGTAACCTTAAGCACCTGCAGGGCAAACTAATCTGAACTTTCACTAAGTCCATAAGACAAGGTATAAAAATGGGAGTGTGTAAAGAACAACCTCAAAGCTCAAGGCAGTGCAAAATGAGATTTAATGTGAAGGCACAGCCTTTAACACCTGAGAAGTATGAAGACACAGTATATATACAGAACATGAGAAAGGTTTATTTGTTTGCATAGTGTTTGTGGTAAACGAGACTTAGGACTAGCGGGCAACAAGGCACTGAGTAAGAATTCGTGGTTTGGCATTCCTAGCCGGAGCTTCCTAGCAGCACAGGGGCTACACGCAGCTATGTATGACTTAGAATTGTAGGATCATGGAATGGTTGAGGTTGGCAAAGCCCTTTAAGGTCCCCCAGCCCAACTGTTCCCCTACCCCTGCCATCCCACGCCCAAACCCTGGCCCTCAGCACCTCGGCTGCCCGGTTGTTAAATCCCCCCAGGGGTGGGGACTCGACCCCTTCCCTGGGCAGCCCCTTCCAGTGCCTGGCAGCCCTTTCTGACTCACCAGAAGTTTCCAATATCGCTTTATGTCGTTAATCCTCAGTAAACCCCACATAAAGCAACAGAAGCAAAGCCGCCAGAAACAGTCAAAAGCAACAGAAGTGCTGGGCCAAGCATACTTTTTCCCGGGAAACAAGCGACTTCCTAACTTAATTTGTGCAAATGTGGCAGTTTCGGGGTGATGCCCCGCTGATGGCTTCTCCTGGGCTCAGCCGCCTGGTGGGGCAGGGTCAGAGGGAACCCGTGTCGGTGGCTTCTGGAGCGACCAGGGCTGAAACCAGGGGCAGGAGCAGCCACGCTGTGCAGCGGGCGACCTGCGCTGCGCTACGGTCCCGGAGGCCACGGGGAGGGCTGGTGGCTGCCGCCCGGGGCTGCGGCCCCAGCGCAAAGGCAGGTCCAGCACAACAGCCTGGGGAGGCAAGGACAGCCAAGGGCTTCCATTACAGCCACTGTAGCTGAGGAACGCCCAGTATTTTGCTTTGGGTTTTGTTTCTTTTCCCTGAAAATGGACAGTTTCCTGAATTTTCAATTTCCTGTCCCGAATTGCAATGAACAATTAGACTTTCCCACGGACAGCAATATTGTATTTGATCAGCTGCCGCTCAGCACAGAGCACGTTGTCTGTAGCTGTACCGCAGGCTGCACGGTGAAACTCGTGATTGAGGCATGAGAATACTATTGTAAATTAAACAAGAATGCATAATTAATAACCAAAATAAAAGAATGAATCACATTAATCAGTAAAAGAAGATGCAATAAACTAAGACTAAACAAGGGAGCAATTTAGCTCATACAGTAGGATGCACAATTGACTTCCAAGTGATTGTACTAGACGGTTTGCCCGGTAATTATGTTAATTCACATCCCCGGTAGTTTCCGTTGGGCACAGTTCAGCCCCAGGTGTGCAGGGCTGAAGGCTCTGGTGAGTCCCTCACAGTCAGCTCTGCTAACCATGTCCCCAGCCTCCTGACAGCAAAATCATCACCTGAACTGTACCAAGCCCACATGACTTCATCCCCGTCTCTGTTGTTCTCCTCTGGGACAAATAGGACTCCGTATCCCTCTACTGCTCATCCACATTCACTTCCGTGAAACTACTTACACACCTGAAGTTGAGGATGCATTTAAGCGTTCCACCTCTTCATGGCCTTTACAGTCGTATGTTGTCTCCTTCAGTGATTCATCCGTCCTCTCCTCTGCACTGCCTCTTCAGGATGGAAAGCTCTTCATCCAGTAACAATTACAAAGTTGGCCACTTCCAGGTGCCTTAGAGAGTTGGGAAGATGTCATGGTTGAACCCCGGCCAGCAGCAGCCGCTCGCTCACTCCCCCACAGTGGGATGGGGGAGAGAATCGGAAGGGTAAAAGGGAGAAAACTGTGGGCTGAGATAAAGACAGTTTAATAGGGAAAGCAAAAGCCATGCACTCAAGTGAGGCAAAGCAAGGGATTCCTTCCCTGCTTCCCATGGGCAGGGGGTGCTCAGCCACCCCCAGGACAGTCGGGCTCCATCACACCTAACAGTGACTGGGGCAGGCAAACGCCATCGCTCCCAGCGTCCCCCCCTTCCTCCTCGGGGTGCTCAGCCCTGCTGCCAGCACAGATCCCAAACACAGCCCCACACCAGCTGCTGTGAAGAAAACTAACTCTCCCCCAGCCAAACCCAGCACAAACAGTTACAGGGTTTCTGTGCCAGGGAAGTCCTGTCGATCGGCCAGTCATGTCACTGTCACTTGTGACAGTAAATGTATGTGATATTGGAAATTAAAATAAACTCTTTGCACAAGGTCTTCTATTTCGATGAGCTTCAAGTGGTGGTTCCTTTGAGTTCGGTCATTTTACAGCCATTCCTGCCACTTAAAAAATGCTGGAGCTTTTTTTTTTTTTTTCCCCATAAGCTCTCATAAAAATTTTCACTTCTGTGAACATGTTAATGCTTTCTGTACAGAAGACAGATTCATTAAACAGAAACTTCTCCAGAAAAACAGCTCCTGTAGCAGAGTCACCCTGGCTCCCTGGTCCAGCGGTCTGCGGCGAGAGCGTGGAGCCCTTTCCACCAAGTAAAGCTTGACACGCGTACACACGGTCCCGGAGGGCAGCGGGCAAACCACGCAGTGTCACGGGCCTTCCCTCACCCATCTCCTCTGCATCTGTCAGATCCCCATGTGTCTCTCAAACCGCTGGCTCCCGCCGCAGGGCCACCCCTC